TTCTTCAGGTTACAACTTGGAAATATTTTAAAATTATGGATATGAAAGATAGCCCAATACAGTAGGTAAATAGTTCAGCTGGGGGAATTGGCGAGGTAAAACACGGAGTATTGGGGTGGGAGGTCGATTTTTCGGTTAAAACTGGGCGTGCAGTGCGAGACCAAAGATTCAAGGACTAGGCGCTGATACTTGTTCCCGACGCCCTTGTAAACGCATACAGCGCTGTCCAAATTGAACGATTGGCTAAATTCTGTGATGTGTTGGCATAAGAGAGACTTGCGGTCGTTGGTGTGTATGTTGCGGCTGTGTTCAGATAATCTGGTGCGGATAGATCGACCGGTTTCTCCGATGTAACACTGTTTGCAATCAAGACAGGGAATTTTGTAAATTGCGTTGGTGTCGATTAAAACTAATTCCCTAACCGCCACCAACGCAATTTACAAAATTCCCTGACTTGATTGCAAACAGTGTTACATCGGAGAAACCGGTCGATCTATCCGCACCAGATTATCTGAACACAGCCGCAACATACACACCAACGACCGCAAGTCTCTCTTATGCCAACACATCACAGAATTTAGCCACTCGTTCAATTTGGACAGCGCTGTATGCGTTTACAAGGGCGTCGGGAACAAGTATCAGCGCCTAGTCCTTGAATCTTTGGTCTCGCACTGCACGCCCAGTTTCAACCGAAAAATCGACCTCCCACCCCAATACTCCGTGTTTTACCTCGCCAATCCTCCCAGCTGAACTATTTACCTACTGTATTGGGCTATCTTTCATATCCATAGTTTTAAAATATTTCCAAGTTGTAACCTGAAGAAGGGCATTCTTGCCTGGAAGATTGTGTTTTTACCATTAAAAGAAAACCACCACGTTTTTATCGCCTTCATTTCAAATATTATTGCGTGGCTACGTCATGTCTGATCCTAACTTCGAATAATGTGTATATAAAAATAGTATTTATTAATAAGTTCTGTTAGGAAACCAATTCTTTCCTAGTCTACCAATCGAGCAGAGTCAAACACTACACCTCTCAGAAAATTAACACCTTTAATTTCCTTTCATAACTAACTCCTTTACATCATTAAAAACCAATTTATATACATGTAAAATCGTCCAGTCATCTGGTCAAAATATAAATAAACTAATCTAGGAAAAAACAACTTATAAAATCCTAACAATGCCCCCCCATTTTAAAGTTGTTTTCATACCCTCATCGGAGGCCTAGAGTGGCCAAGATCCTGGTCAGTTCAATTCTTCCAATTCCCCCAGTTAGAATATCTGCAATACTCCCTCCGCCAAGCTGCAATTCTTGAAGATCTTCTTGGGATTATAGTTTCATTCTGGCCTTCCTCTTCGTCTTCTCTCCTCAGTTCTTCGTCTCCACAGGCCTGCTCTTCATCCTCTTTTCGTTCTAAGTTATTCAGATTTCTCTCTACCGATATTGCTTCTTCATCAGTCCCTGAATATCCTCTTGGGATCGCAGCTTCATTTCGACCTTCCTCGTCTTCCTTCTTAAGTTCGTCTTTCTGATTCCTTTCCACCAATTTCGTATCTTCCTCATTTACAGATTCATAGCCTTCTTCAAAATTATTATTTAAAACCTGGAAAAAATCAGTTTCATGTGAAATTTGCTTATCGACTTTCTTAGTTGGGAAAACATCTTCTCTAAATCTGACATTTCTGGTTACAAAGACCTTATTGTTTCTGAAGTCCCAAACCTTGTATCCCTTGACTCCTTCCGGATAACCAATTAAAACACATTCTCGGCTTCTTGAATCAAATTTGGATCGACGCCGGTCGTTGTATACCCAGGTCTGACAACCGAAAACTCGGATATGCTCAATCTTCACTGGCCGTTCGGTCCACATTTCTTCTGGTATTTTGTTACCTATTGCCTTGCTAGAACATTTGTTTCTCAAGTAACATGCTGTATTTACGGCATCTGCCCAGAATGATTTAGGAATCCCTGATTCAAGTAAAATGCATCTTGCTGTGTTTAGTAATGTCTGATTCATTCTTTCTGCAGTTCCATTTTGCTGAGGTGTTCTTGGAACTGTAAGCTGTCGCTTGATACCATTTTCATTGAGAAATTTATTGAATTCGCCATTAACATATTCCGTCCCATTATCACTTCTCAGTACTTTGATTTTTCTGCTGTGGTAATTCTCAACACTGTTCTTATATTCCTTGAATCTTTCAAGTACCTCCGATTTAGATATCATAAAATATACTTTAGTGTAATGAGTGAAATCATCTATGAACGTCACAACATAATTGTTCCCTCCCTTCGACATTGGGCTAATGGGACCTACTACGTCCGAATGGATGAGCTCCAAGGGTGATGAAGTCCTCTTACTTTCGACAGGTTTGGAAGGAAATGGTAGTCTTCTCATTTTACCTTCAAGGCACACCTCGCACTCTGCTGTGTCACTCACATTTTGGAGATCCCTTTTGTAAACGTGTCCTAGCCTTCTGTGCCAGATATCTGCACTAGGTGACTTCACTTTAGCCATCTTCAGTTCTTCCACTGTATAGATTCTTCCTCTTCTATTAGATTTCAAAATTAACCCGCCATCACTTCCAAAAACAGAGGCCTTGCCATTCTGGAATAAAACTTTGTTTCCTCTTTCCTCAATCCTTCCAACAGACAAAATATTTCCGTCTAACTCAGGAACGTATAAAACGTTTTCCAAGAACAAGGTTTCACCTCCATATTCGTGACCGAGTTTGATGGTTACATCACCCATCTCTGATACTTTTATTTTCTCATTGTTAGCCATTTCTACTGAAGTTGAAATACTTTTTGTGTTCGTCAATTTCAGTCTGTTCGACGTCATATGTTCAGTAGCTCCACTGTCCAGAAACCAGATATTCTGCGAATTATTGTTTTTAAAGTTGTTTGCAAATAGGACTTTATGAGTTAGGTCTAGCGTACCTTGTTTCAGCATACCTTCGCTAATTCTCCTTGAGGAGTTGGCAAATCTGCAATTCCTAGCTATGTGCCCTAATCTGCCACAACTGAAACACCTTATCTGCCTGGAGATACCTTCGCTAATTCTCCTTGAGGAGTTGGCAAATCTGCAATTCCTTGCTATGTGTCCTAACCTGCCACAACTGAAACACCTTATCTGCCTCGGGTAGTTATAATTTTCCCTTTTCCCTTCCGTCCACGTATTATGATAATTCCTTGGTTGATCATATTCAAATATTTTTCGCTCTTGACATGGTGATTTGCATGTATCCTCTTTTCTTCTTACCGCAAAAGCGCAATTAGGATCTTCTTGAGGAATTTGACGCTGTTTCTGTCTTTTTTCTTCTAAAAGTAACTTGGATTTTACCACACTAGTAGATAGCTTCTCTTCTTGCTGTTCTAAACTGAGAATCAGCGGCTCGTAACTCTTTGGTAATCCCAATAGCATAATCAAAGCCAATTCGCCATCCCCAAATCCATGGTGGCACTTTGCTAATTTTCTATGACATTCCATTATTCTCGCGAAATATTCCTTCATGTCTTCGTCATTTCTTTTGACAATATTGAAAAATTCTCTCAGTAGCTGCAATATATGCAGTAATCCATACTTTGTGTGGATATCCTCCAGCATCTGCCATGCATCGATCGCTCGTTTACAATCACCAATGTCATCTAGGAATGAATCTTCAACTGCTAATAATATGACGGATAATGCCAAGCTATCTTTCCGCTTCTGTTTTTCTGTAGTTTCCCTAGGAAATCCAGGCTCAATCGCATCCCATATATCCTTCTGGATCAAAATAGATTTAGTTCTTATAGCCCAGGAATAATAATTATTACCATCAAGTTTAGGTATTCTGAACTCGTCAGCCATCGATATTTCCAGTTATGCAAATCTGACAAAAAAATTATAACTCAAAGCTTTTCTTCTTCTTCTTCGTTGCACAAAGTTCAGTCTTTAAATCACTCAAATTTCTTATAATCAAATTCTTTTCTCTATCTTAGTTAGCTTTATCTTCTTCAGTCTAGCATAAACTTTTCTTCTTGGCTTTCCCTTTTAGCTTTTTCTTCTTTAGCCTAAACTTCTAATTTCTCTCTACGGCGCAGTGGAAGCGTGCTGGGCCCATAACCTGTTAGGAAACCAATTCTTTCCTAGTCTACCAATCGAGCAGAGTCAAACACTACACCTCTCAGAAAATTAACACCTTTAATTTCCTTTCATAACTAACTCCTTTACATCATTAAAAACCAATTTATATACATGTAAAATCGTCCAGTCATCTGGTCAAAATATAAATAAACTAATCTAGGAAAAAACAACTTATAAAATCCTAACAAGTTCTTAACGTGATAATCCTGTTGAAGGACTGAAAAGTCCGAAAGCTTGAAAATAAAAAAAGTTGGACAAGAAACTTAACACTGGAAGCTTCATTTATTTTATAAATATGTATTATTATTATTAATTATGCATTAGCCGTACTCCTGGAGTGTACAGAAAAGTCACTAACTATCAAGAAAAATGTATTTTGAAAGAGACAAACTTATAGAAATAGAAACTGAATTGATAAAAAAAAAAGGGAGCGAGAGGTTATCTCTATCAGAATTATTGGTGTCATCACAACCTGTGTAATCTTGTCAGTTCTTGTATTCAGATTATCTCAAACATTTTATCTCTCAGAGAAATGGGGAAAGATATCTTAAGGATAAAAGTCGGTGGTATAAAACGTCGTTTTGTGATAGCCATGAACCGGGATCAAATCCCGCATTGGACACTTCTTTTTTTTTTTTTTTTCATATGTAAACAACCTGTTTTTATTATTCACTAGCGAATGTACCCGACTTCGCCCGGTTTTTACTTAGTAAATGTTTGCCTAACGAACATTTGTTAAAACGATTTTAGAAAATTTTCACGGTGAATGGATGTATGGTTTATGAATCTATCTAGTACAGACAGACACAAATTTATTTATATATATTTTTATAAATTTATTTATATAAATGAGTTTTAAAAATTGTAAAAAAATGCATCGGCCGGGAATCGAACCTGGGCCGTCCGCGTGGCAGGCGAGCATTCTACCACTGGACCACCGATGCTTATAAGAAATGGCCATATTTGGGTATTTATTCCATTCACAAAAGCAAACGATGACAGAATTGATTGTTGATGACTCTGATACTTGTATATTTTAATTGTTTTTTTTTTTTTAATTATTATCCCGAGTACATTCGGGCTCGAAAATAATACACTTTGGTTAGTAGCCCGTAAAACTATATTCTCTCTCTCCCTAGTACACGTGATACAGGCCATGATAATCATGGTAGGTAGAAGTTGGCGACTGCTTTTACTGTGAGCACATGTCTATACATGTAAAAAGCATTTCGACTTTTGCACTTACAAATGTGCCCCGTTTAGTTACTTGCATTCGCTGGTGGGGTTGGACTTTTGAAAGAATAGGGGGCACAGGTCTACAAAAAAAACTTTTTTTTTTGCACAAGAGAACCTGATGGTGTTTATAGTGTAACTTTTCATGCTGAACTCAAAAATCTAATCAGAAATTTCCCATCACCCATGGTTTTTGCCTGACGATCTTTTTTTAGTATTGGGATAAATACATGCATCCAGCATGAAAGAGACTTACGAAAACATGAAACTGCTTTTGAAAAAGATAGAATATGAAAGATACGGTTGGAAAATATGCAGCGATTTGAAAGTCGTTGCTCTCTTGCGGGGAATGCAGCTTGGATATACAAAATTTTGTTGTTTTCTGTGTGAGTGGGATAGCAGAGATAGGGAAAGGCATTACATAAAAAAAATCTGGTCAAACCGTAAAATCTTTACTCCAGGATATAAAAATATTGCAAATCTACCCCTGATCGATTCAGAAAATATTTACTTACCACCATTACATATTAAACTGGGATTAATGAAGAACTTTGTCAAGGCAATGGATCGAAATGCCAGTGGATTTGCCTACCTAAAACAAAAAATTTCTAGTATAAGTGAAGCGAAGATTAAAGAAGGCATTTTCGTTGGACCTCAGATTCGAGAATTGCAGCAGGATGGAAATTTTCAAAATAGTTTGAATGAAGTTGAAGCAGCAGCATGGAATTCCTTTAGAAACGTTTGCAAAAACTTCTTAGGAAGTGTCAAGGTTGAAAATTACCGAGACATAGTTAATGATCTGTTGCTTTCCTACAAGGCACTGGGATGTAACATGTCCCTCAAGATCCATTTCCTGCATTCACATCTAGATTTCTTTCCAGACAATCTTGGCGCAGTTAGCGATGAGCATGGTGAGAGGTTTCATCAAGCTATATCAAGCATGGAGAAGCGGTACCAAGGTAAATGGAGTCCCGCTATGCTTGCCGACGACTGCTGGGCACTCAAGAGGGATCTACCACAAGCAACGTATAGAAGAAAATCCACTGTCACTGCTTTTCAATAATAAATATGTTTCGTTCATATATGCCTATATATTAACAATATTTCCAAATTCAAGTAGGTGTATCTCAGAAATATTGTGTAATAGAAAAAAACTTATGGTATATTTGGATTCAGGACATGTAGATAAGATGCTATTTATTTGTGGACAAAGAAAAAAATTTTTGATAAACCAGTTAGGTGATATTTGCAATTTTTAGTGTATTTATCCCAATACTAAAAAAGACCGTCACGCAAAAACCATACGTGATGGGAAATTTCTGATTAGATTTTTGAGTTCAGCATGAAAAGTTACACTAGAAACATAATCAGGTTCTCTTGTGCAAAAATCTTGTTGACCAGTGGGGGCCATTGGAGCATTTTTTTAATCATAAAAAATAGTGCTCAATGCGGGTTTCTGGGTCGTAGCGGTCGAAAACCAATGGTTTAGACCAAGCATGCCAAACTCAAATCCTAACACGGGCCAAATAAAAAAGTAATAAGATTATGTGGGCCGCAAAAAAAGAAAACAAGTAATTAAATTTTTATAGTAACATTTATGTAGGTTTATTTTAAAAAATACTAATAAGAAAAAAGAAAGTAAAGTTAATATTTTCTCCCTGATATTTGGCATCTCTTTTCTGCTACCATCTTTCCTACTTCGGGGGAAACCTTGTTCGCAGTGATTAATTTTAAAACTGACCCAAGGTGAACGTCAGTAATTCTCGATCTGATTGGAGACTTATTTCCTTTCATAAGTGAAACTTTAAGGCACACAATTCTTATGGCGATGTACATACGTTATGTATGTAGGTATAATATTATCAAAACTTACGACTTATGTATGGCGACCAGTGGTTCGTTATTAATAAATAAATTATGTATAAATACAATTTTTAAAAATTAGGCTACAAATTTTTATTAATATTATTTTTTAAATTTATAAAATTTTTTAAATTAAAATATATTGTCTGGTGGGCCGCAAATTTATTCGTTGTGGGCCGCATGAGGCCCGCGGGCCGCGAGTTTGACATGCTTGGTTTAGACCATCCTTCCACCGACCCAGCCATACTTTGGTGAAAATCCGACTTTTGCCTGTAATTTGAGGCCGTTCCTAACATGGAAGCCTTTGCTGCCGACTCTAACATGAATACAGACATCCGTATCCCTGGAGAGGAACCCTTGCTGAGATCTATCAACCGGGTCAGTTGAACTCATAAGTAAAAAAACAATGGTTGCCTGTAAAGTCGGTTTTACGGGCGAAGATTTTACGTGACAACGGTAGAATATTTATTGATATGAATATAATTAAATTGCACAATAGGAACAAGGAATTGAATGAAAATAAGAATTGCACAAATTTTAACTATAGAAATATATTTTGTATAATCTTTGTACCAGTCATACAAAGTCGTACCAATCTACCAATCGTACCAATCCGAAAGGTACTGCAGACGTTGACGGCACGATATCCTCCGTCTCCATTGAAGTACTGGAAGTTGAAGGCACCGTTTCCATTGTTTTGAGAGTGGTGATTCCTGTTGAACATTTGAAATTGAATGGATGAATTTTTAATTTTAAAGAATCAATTTGAAAATCAAAACACTTATTCAGATCGAAGGTTCAAATTTTTGCTAAATAAATTTGAAATTAAATAAAATTTGTAATTGTAAATGATGAAGTTGAAAATTAAAACATTTACTTATATTAGATGTTAAAATTCTTGCTCAACACAGTTTAAATAAAGTTTTCTTATATCTGCCACTTTTTCTTAATATTTGTAATTTTAAATAATCAATTCGAAAATCAAAACATTTATTCAGATCGAAGGTTCAAATTTTTGCTAAATAAATTTGAAACTATTTAAAATTTGTAAAATAATAATTAATTAATTAATTTTAAACTAATAATTTACTTAACACTATCAACATTTATCAATAGTATGACATAACCTATAAACTCAGTTTCTCAACTTTTGTGTCAATCTAACAATTAATCAATCAATCATAGTTTACGATAATGAAATATCAGTGTACAATTATTTACCTTTATTGTTGTAGTTGTTGTAAATGACGAATCTAAGCACTCCACATTTTCACTACAGACACAGCTGACGATACTTTAACCACACGTGTGAACTTGTATTATGACGCTTTCTTGTTTTTCCAACGCCAAGAACGTTCGAGAAAGACAAAGACAGAGACAAGCATGCGCCGATTCAATGCGCCTAATTCTCTAGCACTCTCGTTCGGTGACTCATCGTAACGTTACCGGGCGTTACACTTTTTCATAAGTGACTCCCAGCCGCAACCTAATTTAAGACGTTGTCACGTCAAAAATAAATTTATAAATTTAATTGTCATCTAACGATAAAATTCGTAAAAATAAATTTACTGATAAAAAGGGCATATAATTCATGATGCAGCAATATTGTAGTCTCTTTCTTTTGTGGTCAATATTTTGTCTATTTACTCTATTTTCTAATATATTCCATTTCTGTATAGTTGTGTACTCTATAGTTAAAAAGAAAGTGTATTATAATACACAAATAAGCGACCATCCGTGCTTTTGTTTAATTGAAAAAAAAAAAAAAGTGGCAGCGGTGGGATTCGAACCCACGCCTCCGAAAAGACTGGTGCCTTAAACCAGCGCCTTAGACCGCTCGGCCACGCTACCATATTTACATAGCCCTATCGTAACTATTTGAATATCACTTTTTAATACTAGTGATTTTTTCCCCTTTTCTAAATGATTCAAAGAAATCAAAATATATAATATTTCGTTATATATTGCCACATGGAAAATTAGGAAAGACAAACTTCAGGATGACACAGCAATTTAATATTTAAGGCAAACCAAACTATGATTGATAAAATACAAGATAGGCAAAGAGGGAAGTTTACTGAATAGCAAAATATAAACATCAAAAATGATACTGTGTTAATAAAATAATAAATACGTTGCTACAATATATTCCCTCGAAATATATATTTAATAAATACATTTTTATAACTTATTTAATAATGCTCAAAAGGTTTATCACACTTTTTCCCTCCTGTAATCCAAGCACTACTGTCAAAGTGGTTATATTTTTCATTATTCTTTTTTGGTAAATATGGTTGTACATATTGTAGTTTCTCTCTTCGTCATATTTTGTCCATTTAATCTTAAAAAAAAATATTTTCCATTGTTGCATAGTAGTTGATTATACTTAATTGTTTGCCATTGTTGGCCATTATTCTTAATTGTTAAAAATAATAGTTCATTATACTTTATTGTTGTCCATTATAAACCGTTGTTTATTATATTTCATTGTTTTATGTATAGTAGTAATATATTTCATTGTCATACATTGCTGTTACCCTCTAATACTCTATTGTGAAAAATACTTGTTCCTTTCTTGCTCTTCGGATTATCAAAATACACCCATCCCCAGTCTAATATACGATGAAGACTTTCTTTGAAACCTTTCCAGCAAGATTTCAGATAACGTTCTTCGATTTTCCTTGTTATTTTCAATCAATTCGTGTGACAACCATTTTCCTTCCTTCTGGAACGTTTCACGATTTTGGGTGTCATCCTTGCGCAGGGGCCATGCTAATCTTCTCTGTATCGTTCCAATTTTATTATATGTACCGCCGAACAAGCGAGTACTATGTCCAAGTACTATGAA